ACACCGCTGTACGCCTCAAGACCCGATCCTTCTATCCCGGCACAAATACCCTGGTATCCTCGATCTTGTTCCTGTAAGAAAAAATATAGAACAGGGCAGTAGGCATTCCTATTACATGTACTAATATTAGAATCTACAAGTTAATTATTCTTGAAATATATGTTTACAAGTGATTAGAACTAGGATTTGTCCCAAAACAAGAGAAACTCGTCTGTACTAATGAAACAATGTTCAAGTAGGAATGTTTTCAAAGGTTTTTAAAGTGTATAGTATTGGCATTGCCTAGGCTTTTTTTGTATTTACAATAAAAAATCGTAAAAGTTTTACAAAACTTGATTTTTAAAATTTGTAATGGATATGCCTTTAATAAAGTCAGTTATTTGTGACTTGCAATTTTTGTGGATGCTGTAATGGAATACAATGACAGTAATTTGAAGTAAATATCTCAACCATTTCCTTCCCATGGATGGTTCCCTTAAGTCAATTTTTATTGCTGTATTAATAGGTAAGCATTGTTACATTCTACTGCACATCTCCTAACACATTCCCCTACTTTGAGACTGACATGTCTTTGTTCTTGTGTCTGAACAACCCATTATTCATAGCCGATCTTAAACTTCTGTCTGGGAGTGTCTTGGTCATCTCTTCTAGGGCCAGTATTAAGAATGAGTGAAGCCTTACCTCCATTCCCCCTATACTCCTTCATGGTGTAGTGCTATGCTCTATTAAAATAATGTACATTCATGAAGGAAATAAGAATATTGAAAGGAAAGTGAGGAGAAGTTTTGGAAAGCAAAGTTAATAATATACAGGGAGTCTGGGTTCTTCAATGACCCACATAAAATGGAACCGACGAAGGAAGAATTACCAAATACAATGTGCATCTATTAAATAAAATGATCGATACTCTTATTTATTCATATATGAGCAAATCACTATACATGTGTAAGAACACAAACATTATGACAGTCATTCAAAGGGGGAGACATTTTACAGAGGTAGGTAAGAAAGTAACATTGACAAGGCAAGCCTTTAAAATATAATAAACTATTTTAAACGTTTAACATTCAGAAGTATTAAGATTACATTCTTCTGGTGTGTGATGCCTTGTAGTTTTGCAGAAGGTTACCATTTTAGAGAAGCATACATGTACTACCTCACATTTTCAGGGTAGATACCAGGGTCAACTACATGTTGCCACATTATTTCACCCCTGTGAGAAGGTAAAATCTCTCACATTCAGAAGTATACTAACTCCAGTCAATACACAAGTTAAATTTATTTTTAACAAGTGAAGATAATATGAGAGTTGGATTTAGGATTCTCATAGTAGTGACTATGATGAATACTATCTTCTGGAATGTGATGCTTTGTAATCTAGTAGAAGTATGATATTTTGGAGGAATGTAGTGACATCTTGCTAGCTTGTTGCTTTGGTTACATTTCAACCCTGAAGATGGAGCCACTGCAATATTTCAAAACGTCTGTGGGCTGACTACATGTTGCTACATCCAGAATACAGTGCTCTTCAATGAGGGTTGTTCAATTGCAATCTTGTTTCAGTGGCTGTATTCACTAGCAGCACCCAGAACCAATTTCATTTAAACAGATATTTCAGTTCCTAAAAATCATTTAAGTGGAGAAAGAAGCAAGTGTCCATGAGCTATATTTTGTGCATTCCTGTAGCATAAAATTATAATACAAATACCAGTTTATTTCAGTTCATACTTCATCATGTATAGACTACTTTTGTATTCAAATTTAATTTAGGCCTGTCAGGCAACAGTGTTGTTTCAATTATGTGTGACTCCTCAGTGACCTCATCGTACTCATCATCTCCTGGCACGCCAACTGGTGAGGAAGTCCCCAGACCTCCCTCATCTTCTGGTTTGAGAAGCGCAAAGCCATCTGCCCCAACACGCAGACAGTCGAAATGCAAAATGATAACAGGCTTGTTTGCAATGCGTGCTTCAAAGTCAACACACATGTGCAGATTGGAGCCAGGCGTGAAAATGTTAAACATTCGTACACAAAAGTGCACTCGCACTGGAATGTAGGGTAATGGCACTGGCATGCAGGCTGCAGGTGGGTTCTTGGCTGCAACACAAAATCATGCAACACATCAGAATTTAACAATATTTCACTAAGGAATGAGTAAAAAATTAACAGTACTGTTTTTTGGCCATGCCATAACTCAAGTTCCAACATTGGGACCTGGTTTCAATCCCAGGTCAGGGTGGACAAAGTGGCACCGGGGCAGCCTCTTGAGTATTTCAGTTTCCCCTGCCAATTCTTATTCCACCAAATACTCCATACTAATCTCTTATTTAGGGCTGGTACAATAGGCCCACTAAGGACCATACGGACTCTTGTCTCAGTTCATTCCATGAATTTAAGAAACAAATTAGAATGTATTCATTTATATCATTGACAATTGAACCTTCTAAAATAGTGGTATATTTGGGTAGGCAACCTTACAGAAGAAAATTCCTGTGTATTTAGCATAGTTCCAATGTGATACTGGTTCCCGTCATGTTTTGAAAATAAAATACAGTAAATTCCTAATAATGGCATATGTACTATGTCACTATCTGATGACACACCCTCAAAGATGTTACAGATTAACTTCATGGAGCTGAACCCTTCTTGAGGAGCCACCAATTGTGCAACCACTTAAGAACTTTCCAGCAATTTATGCAACCAGAATGTTCATTATAATGTTCACAAGAGCTCTCCACTGGTCCCTATCCTGAGCCAGATCAATCCAGTCCATACCACCCCATGTTATCTCTCAAGATCCACTTTAATATTATCCACCCACATATGTCTTGGTCTTCCTAGTGGTATCTTTCATTCTGGCTTTTCCACCAATATCCTATATGCATTCCTTTTCTCATCTCTTCATGCTATATGCCCTGCCCCTCACATCCTTCACTTGGTCATTCTAATTATACACACTACTAACCATCATTGTGACTGTAATATCTTAAGATGTCAGACTCATATAGAAGTTTAGGGCAGTCACCATATTTTTTTTTATTAGTTATCATACAATAATTAGGAGCCAGGACAACATAGTCGGTAGAGCGACTAGCTATGGGCTGAACAACCAAGGGGTTGCACTTCGAGTCCTGGTAGGATCAAGACTTTTCTCTTCTCCACGTTGTCCAAACCGGCTCTAGTGCCAAGGTTAAGAAAATGTGGATCTATACATTCACTCCTCCAGATGCTTTCATGGCATAGTGCTTAATTAGTTAAACACAGGGACAAATTTACCTTATCTTTATCATACAATACTGACGTATGCAGTCACACATGTTACCTGTAAATGTATATGTAAACACTGGGTTGTCATTCATCAGCATGTTGGATGTCATGGAGAATTCATGGGGGTCATATGTTAAATTCATGCAGGCTGCAATCAAAATGAAAGAGAAGTTACATTTCAGTTGAATGAGTACAGGAAAAACAGTCTATTAAGTGAGACCTCAGTTTCTCACTGCAGGCACTGATCAGTTTATCCTAGGACAGTGGTTCTCAAATTTTGTGGGACCGTGGCCCCGTAAGATGAGGGCCCGGTAGCGGGCCGTGGGCCTGTGTGCGAGGAACACGGTCCTAGGGCATCACACTGTGTAGTCTGGTAGATTGTTACCAATGCTTTGAGAGGAACCTGATGTCTCCATCTTCAGGATAGGAAAACAAGTTGAGGATTTATGAATATAGGGAGAATGAAGATAGGATTAAGGCCCCGAGTGAACCAATAGGAGTCAGGAGAACTGGACGCTTCTGAAAAGGGCCAATATTGTTTAAACTGTTATCCTTGCACCAATCAGTCTGCTAAGGGCCCCCTGGTCCCTTCCTCCCTCTTCTTATATCATACAATTTCTCTTGCCTGGCTTAGTTTTATACCTTGAAGATGGAGGCAGCATGTTCATCCAAAATGTTAGTAATGATCTACCAGATTATGTCATATTTCAGGAGACAGTAACCTTCATCCCTAAGTTTCCATTGCATATCACTTGCCATTCCAAAAGAGAAAAACAATCCAAAAATGGAAGGGCCAATTCTGAGTTGAATTAATAAGTGGGAAAAATGCACTGTAATAAGATTTATCCTCATTGATTATTACTGATACTGATGATTGACGATGATGAAGCATAGGCAGTTATGGCTAATTAAATGAGCCCTGATTCAATTTCTGTGTAAAGGACTCACCATTCTGACTGAAGTTGTAAGACTGAATATTCATCCCTGCACAGCAGCCGCAAGTATATGATTGGCAGGAACAGGGCAGCCGATTCAACAGCAGTTTCTGGGAGCTGGTATTCCCCTTATAGAAGTGAAACTCGACATCATTGCCAGCTTCTGTAACAGACATAGCAGTAACTGCTTGACACCACGGACTCGGAGTGTTCACCAGTTTAAATTGAAAAATTATGACGAAAACATGACAACAAAGTCCACGGAGTTCTTCATGGTGGGGGAGCGGGTGCAAGTGTCCAAGGGAACCAAACTAGAGTTCCAATTTTGCGGCCATTGAAACTTTTAAAATTTCGTTAGTGAGACTTGTAACTAATCAATGCAACAGGATGCTTGAATGTATTATGATTAGCTTGTTCAGGAATATTTTTGCAGTTGTCCCTAGAAGAATACTTTTTAAAAAAGGTAAAATTGTCCCTGTGCTTGACCAATTAAGCACTGTGTCATGAAGGCATATGATTAAGTGGATGTATAGATCCACATTTTCTTGACCTTGGCACTGGCTAGAGGTGAGTGGTCAGTTTCACTCCCCGGCCATTTTACTCCCGGGGAAAGAGCCCCCGGTACCCTTTGGATAGCAGGCTGTCTGGGCCCCAGAGCCGGTATGGACGTTATGTTGAACAGAAAATTCTGACCCCTCGGTCGTCCAGCTCTTAATACTTTCAAGTATTAATAATTGAAACAGTTCCTTCTGCGCTACGATAGCTCAGTCCGTATAGAGACTGGCTATGGGCGGGACGGCCGAGGGGTCGGAGTTCGAGCTCTGGTAGGGGCAAGAATTTTGTCCTCTCCACGTTGCCCAGACCGGTTCTAGGGCCCACACAGCCTCTTATCCAATTGGCACCGGGGGCTCACCTCCATCTAGTACAGAAGTGAAGAATATGTGGATCTATACAGTCGGCCCCCATATGTCTTCATGGCGAAGTGCTTAATTAGTCACTGGGAGAACCGCATATTTTAATTTTTATAGCTCCTTCTGCTCTACAGTGACGATTTTTTAAAAATCCACGTGGGAGTAGATGACTCCCCAACCACAGTAACAGAATAAAAGAGCACAGGTAAGGTAATGTAAGTTGTCCTGTGTTTAACTAATTAACCACTACGCCATGAAGGCGAATGGGGGAGTGGATGTATAGATCCATATTTTCTTGACCTCGGTACTAGCTGGAAGTCAGTGGTCAGCTTCATGTCCCGGCCGCTTTACCCCCGGGGAAAGAGCCCCTGGTTCCAATTGAATAGGAGGTTGGGTGGGCCCCAGAACCGATCTGGACGACGTGAGGAAGAGAAAATTCTTGGCCCTACCGGACTCGAACTCAGACCCCTCTGTCGTCCAGCCCGCAGCCAGTCGTTACACCGAATATGCTATCCCGAAGAGCATAGACAATTGGACAACATTTTTATAATTAATGCACTGGGAGCGGGCGGTAGTGATTGAGGCACTATGTTACAAGCCGGAAGGTCTCGGGTTCGATTCCTTATGAGGTCACTGGATTTTTCAATTGACCTACTCCTTCCAGCCGCACTGTGGCCCTGGGGTCGACTCAGCCTCTAACAGAAATGAGTACCAGGAATGTTCCTGGGGAGTAAAGCGCGGCCGGCGCGTAAAGCTGGCAACCTCACCGTCATCTGTGAGCCGATTGTCTAGAAAATGTGGGAGCCTCGACGTCTCACAACCCTATCGGCATCCGCGGCCTGTTACAGAGATAGCTTTACTCTTTTCTACCTTTATAATGAACGCACTGGGCACTTCAGAATGCCGTCCGTACCTTGTCCTTGAAGAATGCGCGCAGTGAGCAAGAGGAACCACACCACGCGTCGCAGAGACGATTTTCCTGACATCCTGTCAGGCCGGCTCCGCCCAAAGAAATGCTCGAGTCCACCTCAAGACACGGTTACCTAGTTGGACCGATCACAGCTCTCACATGAAATTACGGCTCTCTTTCTGCCTTAATTCTTTCTAGGGTTTCTTCAGTACCAATTGTGATGTCATCGCTGGAATACTGCCTGTTAGGAACACCTGAAGTATTCCATGTACATGTAACATTTAACCGAGTGGCACTTCAGAAATACAGTGTCTTAGTTTATTCAATGATGCTTTCAGTAAGAGAATATTTCCTATGTCGGGTACTTATGACTCTTCGGAGATCACGCCATGTCTAACGGTGGGGTGATGAATGAATGAATGAATGAAGAATTGCAGGGATGTGGAAGGAAACTATCGTAGTCTAAACGAGAGACTATTCAAGATATAGAAAAGTATATAAAGTGTGCAGTCTACACAACAATATTCTATGTTTAAAAACGAAGAAGACACTACTGCATCAACACTTGCTTTTATTTTGTTTTTTTACAGACGCAACATGTTTAGACTCCTACACCGGGTTATCATCAGGCGTACAATGCTCCAATTTCAGCTGCTGAATTGGAATTATCATCTAATTCTTAAAATAAGGATCTTATTGTGTTTTGAAATTATTTAAATGCATACTATTCAGATCTTTGTCTGGATGGACCGAGGAAAACCATGTTAAGCCCATGGACAGGACTGAGGGTGTTACGGCCGAATCGAGCATTTCCCGAGCGTTAAGACTACACGAACTCGCAGGGTGACGTAAGAGAACTTTCATTGAGGGTCTGAGTAAACCACTTGGTGAGTATAGCCGGTCTGCGTGCCGAGATCTGAAGCCACGATCTCTCGAATACGAAAACAGGATCTCCAACACTTCAACACCAACTTTCGATAAAGTTCTGTTATCATGTAAACTTAAAAACACTGTTTAGCCAAGGAAATTTGCATTTGTTCGGATCAGTGACTCGGACCTCCGAAATTTCAAATTTTAATTAAGAAAAGAATTGTTTGTTTATGAAAAAGAAAAGCTGGGACATTTGCACAAACCAGCAGGGTGTTTACCCCAACTTGCGTGCTACGGCCTTATCGCCGTTTTCGATAAGAACCGTGAGGAATTGCCTCGTTACGCTGAAACACACTTCCCAATTTTAATTCCAATTTCCATAATCATTGCAAAATTACGTTGTCATCGTGTTAGCTAATATTTTCTTTTTGCATACATATTTGTTCCTCAGGAATATAGTACGGGGGAATTTCAGTGTTCCAATTTATCGTAACAAAAATTTCGGTACACAGACAAGTGTTAAAAAAATTGTACCGAAATGCAACTTTCCTTGTTTCACCCCCTCAGCACGATGAGCCACAGGGTCAATGAGGGGGAGAGGGGACCTGAAACACAAACAAAATTTTTAAGTACCTGAAAGAGAATGTATTAGTAAATATGGATGAGAACTGCTGCTGGGCAGTTACAACCCTCAAGACACAACAAGATACATCACATTTACTTGTTACTTCCTTTACGGGTAAGTAGACCGTAAATTGGCAAAAATAATAATAATAAATTAATTTAGTACGAAAACAGAAATGTTGACTGAAGTGTGAATAGCCTTCAGGGTATTCAGGAATTTATTGTCCTCGTGTTCTAATTCAGGCTGCAACTGATCCAGAATATCCTAACAAATGGCCCGGTACCCCCTTCCCAACCTCGCATACCTAAAAATTTTGAAGGCGCTAAATCAGAACAGCGGAAGAGCTGCATGCTAGCTCCAAATAAATGTTTTGAAATACGTGTACATTGAGCTTTTAAAAAAATGTAGCAATATTCAGTGCAGTCCATTGGTTTTCTTTCTGACTGGGCTAAGCTGGCAACGAAAGGAGATATACACTTTACCAAGCTTTTGCTTAGGAACAATAGGAGAGATATACAGACACACAGACTGGTGGGGGGATGTACGAAGCACGCCGTTGAGATGGGCTCAGATGCCATGATATACATAGCAAGTTTCATGAAGACTGGTTCAAGCTTTATAAGGCTAATGGATGGGATACACACAGACAGCATGAAGATCGCATAAGCCTACTTTAGGAAAGTAGGCTAAAAAAGGAAAATAGATCCTTTTTAATTGCGAAGTTCAAATGTTTGGAACAATGAAGGGCGGATTAAGGCATAGGTGAAATAGGTCACGGTGTATGACTTCGAGGCTTAAGGGGCCCTGAGCGTGGCAGGCACGAAACTTCGCCTGCATGAGAGGGTGGAGGGCCCATATGGCTTTTAGGGTAAACAAAAGGTCTTCTTCTCAGTGTCTAAACTACTACGTAGTTCTAATGAACAATGAAGCCAGAAGTTTCTCAGTTTCCGTGGGTCACCGCAATGGACACTGACCTAGGGCCCCTCGAACTCTTTAACAATCGCGTCTGGGAACAATACTAAGAAACTGAAACGGCGTTCTTGAATAAATTAAGAATTAATGGTAAATTCGTGTAATGCTTGCTACTATCGAGCTCAGATACTTTCGACTGTTCACTTGCAAAATAAAAATGGATACATTAAAATATGCAAACGGATAATGTTATTATTTGATCTGTATGAATAAGAAACTTGGAACATGTCATTAAGGGAAGAACACAGACTGAAGGTGCCTGAGAATATGGCGGTCAGGGGAGTGTCAGGACATAAGACGGAGGAAGTGGGTACGCGGTAGCGTAGTTGGTTAAGGCACTATGCTGCGAGCCGGAAGGTCGCGGGTTCGCTTCACTATGAGGTCACTGGATTTTTCAATTGACCTAATCCTTCCAGCCGCACTATGGCCCTGGGGTCGACTCAGCCTCTAACAGAAATGAGTACCAGGAATATTCTTGGGGGTAAAGGGCGGCCGGCGCGTAGGGCTGACAACCTTGCCTCCATCTGTGAGCCGATTTTCTAGAAGATGTGGGAACCTCAACGTCTCACAAACCTGTGGGCCTCCACGGCCTGTTACAGGGATACCTTTACTTACTTACTTTCGACGTAAATACATGTAAGTGGGCAAAAGCGTCAGAAGTGTTGTGCAACGTGAATTCCTTAACCTGGTTGATTTTTTTTAATTCGCTTAGTGGGGGGTGGAGTCCAGCTTGGTCCACTCAGCACGGCGGTCACTGATTAGCCTATTGTAGCCTGCCCCGAGTGATTATGATGGAGATTTTTGTGGAATGCAGATGGGCAGGGGAAACCGAAGTACTCGGAGAAGACCCGCCCCAGCGCCACTTTGTCCACCATAAATCCCACTTGACCAGACCCAGGATCGAACCCGGGCCGCCGCGGTGGGAAACCAGCGACTAACCGCTTGAGCTATGGCGCGGCCAGCCTGGTTGATTTACTGCGGCTTCGCGTGTAGAGCAACATGGAGGGTAGGTGTTGGCTAGAAACCATAACCTTGTTGGCAGACTCCAGTAGAATTTGGGGTCATACATTAGGATAAGTAAATGCTTGTTAAACTCATTACAATTCAAGGTATGTCTTCAACAGCAAGCGGCTAGGGAACATGAATGAATGTGTAGTCCTTTTCGTTCACGTATTTCTCTCTGAATTGTGTCGTACTATTTACCCGAAGAGGAACATTGCTGCCACACATGGGAAAAAATTATATTTGATTTAAATACAGGATGTTCAGAATAAACATTAGTCTTCTGTGATGTCACCGTGTTATTTGGTAGACATGTAACATTTGTGTCGGCCGCGCCATAGCTCAAGCGGTTAGTCACTGGTTTCCCACCGCGGCGGCCCTGGGTTCGATCCCGGGTCTGGTCAAGTGGGATTTGTGGTGGACAAAGTGACGCTGGGAGGGGGTTTCTCCGAGTACTTCGGTTTCCCCTGCCACTCTTCATTCCACTAAATTTTCCATCATCATAATCACCCGGGTCAGGCTACAATAGGCCAATACTGGCCGCCGTGACGAGCGAACCCAGTTGGACTCCATCCCCCACTAAGCGAATTAAAAAAAAAAAAATTTGTATCCATCTACCAACTTACCAACAAAGCTTCAGGTCACGTAGGACTGTAAATTTCGTTCGCATTGTCCGAGAATCTCGAATGACACACATTTCAGAATACTTAGATTGATTACTGGAAGAAGTAAACAAGAAAAATATATAAAACTGAAAACGTGCATTACCCAGTCATACAAGTTTAAAGATTTAACTCTGGATTTGGGTTATAAAAATAGCGAATGTATCTATTGTTAGGTTTTAATTTTATGGAGAAATTAATTTACTAACGCGAAATCAATCCCTGTCCGGGACGGAAAAATTCTTGTTCCGCTGGGGGTTTTATTGTAAATTAGGTGTACTACATTTTTCGTGGTAGACATATGGTAATGATGTGGGCAACTACTCAAATATATGTTTATTGTTGTGTTGACGATTGTAACCATAAGACAAGATTCAAAAATATTACAGAAACTTAAAAATCTAAAATATTTTAATTACAATATACAAAGATACCTTCTTCTTCTTCCTCTGACATTTCTACTCTTAGGTGGGTCATCTAATTCAAGGGATTTGGAATATGATTTTTCAATACCAAACTTCATAAATTTCAAAGAACCAGCATCGTGAGATTTGAGGTTTTAGTCCTTCTGACTGCCAAGCACGACCATAAACTTGCAAATATCAACCAACGATATTTCTCCAAATGACCTTCAAACAACATCTTGTATGTCATTGAAAAGTCTGTTCCCTCCTCTATACATCAGTACGTCACATCACATTACATTACATCTATTGACAAAAATAATGTATCAGCTGGATAACAATAAGTCAATTTATTTGGCTGTGTCAATTTTAACAAGTGTACCCTGAGATGATCCAACTATTTGTGCTTTGCGAAGAGTTATCATGGTCTTCTGGATGTAGTAGCACGTAATTTGTTACACAGCTACCAACGTTTCGAAGAAACCTACTTACCTTATATTTAAGGTAATTGAAACGTTGGTACCTATCAATCAAACTGCACAGTATCACATTATGGAAGACCAGATTTTTCTTTCTACAATACATATACCAAGGAATAAAGTCTGGCTCTAACATTTTATATATGCACCAATCAGAAGCGCAGAGCATATTTTGAAAAGAATTAGTTCCATGGAAAGACAAAAGGCATATTTATATAATGTATTTGCCAAAGTATGCAATTTTGTTCTATATTAAGAGGTTATTTGCCCCCTTTAACGCAATGAACATTAAAACCCTCATCTGTGTTCCTTGATTTAAAATTTTCCACCATTTAGTGTTCAATTTCAATGATTTCAAGTCAATAATCTGTATTAAATTTCCTTCTTTAAACATTTTCCTCTATTCTGTGTTCAAATTCACTTCTCCCCAAAAGCAACTTTAAATGAGGGTTTCACTGTAACATGTCTATATCAGTTAAGATGTGGAACTGTGTATGATTTCAACATGTTATCCCTATGGGTAATCAGATACAAAATTACGGACAAGAAAGATGACCCAGATGTTCCAAATTGGCACACTTGATCCACAAGACACAGCTGAAATGATGCTACAGTGACAAGAAAATTGTGGTGTTACAGGTTGGAACACAAAGTAGTCTTGTAGGTAGCTACTAATGTCGGGAGAACCTTCTGCAACCAACTTCACAATTGATTCCAACCCTGAAAATGGCATCTGTCTAAAGATTACATAGCATCACAAACCAGAATCTTTACAGCCATCCCATGAAGTCCTCAAAACTTAGACAAAAATAATGTTGAACAAGAAGTACTGTGAAGAACTCATATCACACACTTTCCTTCCGTGAGCTTAGCAGTTCTAAAACTTAATAATAATAATTACAGTGAAACATGCAAAGTCATCTCTGAGAGTCAAGTCACCTGCCATAACTAGCCTTATTTTTTACAGAACAGGCAAAACATATTAATCTTCACATAGCCAAAATCTTTATCGTGGCCACCTGTGAATCTTGAACCTCATCCACCTTGCATTTTATGCTATGGTTCGGCACATATTTTAATCTTTTATGTTTGCCACAAACAAAAATTCGTCTACCAGTCTATACAAATATGAACCTCTACACCCATGTGTTTCTTGCATGTACTGCTAAACCACCCTTTCCACTGGAGGTTACTGTCTTCTGGGATGATGCCCCATAGTCCGACATTTTGGAAAAACGTACTGCCTCAATCTTCAGGGTCAAAGAGAATGCCAAGCATGCACACCAAATATCTCACTTTCTGTTATGTGACTTACAATTAAACAATCCATCAAATGGAGCAGTCCCTGGATCACTTTACCACAGTGCTTTTCACTTTTGACCATTAAAATCCATATGTACATTGTTAACATTCACTTCAGATCCACTGATCTGATATCAAGCATTTAGTCTGCCCGGTAGAGAGTGTCAAAACAGAAAGAAGTACTTCAAAAAACTTAACGTGGTAGCAAAAGTAAAACAATTCAACAGTTAATATGTAGTTACTATGGCCAAAGAAATAGGAAATCTTAACACTATTTTCTCCAAGTTCACCATCAGTTGCGGCTTGCCAGGTTTGAGTGAAACCACGTGTGGCCAATAAAGATAGATTTTACCATATACAATTCTGCAGTCCACTTTTATACATAATTTCCACTAATACAGATATTTACTTAGGGGGAACGTGTTCGCATAGTTGGTTGAGGCACTATGCTACAAGCTGGAAGGTTCGAGTCCTGAGGAGATGGATTTTTTTTTCAATTGACCTAATTCTTCCAGCCACATTATGGCCCTGGGGTCTACTCAGCCTTGAAGAGAAATGAGTACCAGGAATTTTCTGGGGGGGGGGTAAAAGGTGGCTGGCGTGTAAAGCTGATAACCTCACCGCCATCTGTGAGCTGATTGTCTAGAAAATGTGGGAGCCTTGACATCTCACAATCCTATGGGCCTTCATTGCTTGTTACAGGGGCAGCCTCACCTTTTACCTTACAGATTTTTGGTATGTGGATTTTCTCAATTATAACTTCAAAGAATTACATTATCCCCGAGTTCCTAATTGTTAAAACATAAAATACTCGAGAATTTCCACCATTTTATGGTACCCGAAGGTTCGTTACTGCGTTCACAATAGCCTGCCACTGGTTCTTATCCTAGGCCAGATGATTCAAGTCCATAAGATCACATCCCATTTCTCTAAGATCTATTTTAATATTATCCTCCTGCCTATGTCTGTGTCTTCCTAGTGGTTTCTTTTCTTCTGGCTCTACCACAAAAATTCGTTTGTGCATGCCCCTTCTCTTCCATGCGTGTCATATGACTTATCTGTCACAGTCCTCAGCATGCCGTTTTCTCCAGTCTCCTGTCACTTTATCCCTCTGGGGTTCAAATATTTCCCTAAGCATCATGTCCTCAAACACCCTCCATCTTTGTTTTTCACTTAATGACAGGGACCACACAATACAAGCAAATATATAGTTCTCTATATTTTAATTTTTATGTTTTCCAGCAGTTTATGGACTGGCTGCGAACAAAGTATCACAGGACTAGCGCCACTTCTCAGCGAGTTCTTCTTATCAAACAAAAAGCTACACACAGATTCCTCGTGACCTCCATGTTGCAGCTGAAGCAAGAGGTTTGTGACAGTGGCATACTACTGAACTAGACGCTGTCCCATGCCTCGTCTCAGTAAGAGGAACATGTTCTGGAAACTAGTTCTGTTTCTGTCATCAGGTAATATGAAACTACTCTGTTCGGCTTATTAGATGGAGTTATATATCTGTGAACAAAGCGATCAACTTCATTTACTATCCTCCAATGAAAAGATGATGGGGCAGACGGTGGTAGAAATGGTTGATCTGCGGATCCCAGTCGCCGCGCAGTTTAAGGCATGATCTGTCTTCACTTGCTTCACTGTTTGGATCATGCTTTTGACTCCCACTTAAGGCATGGATGTCTGTATTGTGTGAGTTTATTCTACGTTTGTGTTGTTCTGTATGTAGGGAGAGGCTGATGGGCTGATCCCCTGTCAAAGCAGTCCTACCAACTGTGAACAGAATCAATAAACTGAAAAGTGGACAAAGCCCGACAAAGGGCTGTAGAGCCATAATAATAAAAACTGACCTTGATGATTCTATTGTTTATTTAGTGATATACTGAAAGCTTCAGCATATACTGACAACAGTAACACTAATGTCAAAATCATGCTGATGTTTTCTGTTTACAAGGTACACTCAGGTGGACCTGGTCAACTGCCTCACTTTCTCCTTGTTGGAGAATACAATGGGTGCAACAGAGTAGGTTTCAAACTTTTAACCTGATGATAGAAACAAAACCACTTTTTGAAATGCTGCATCCTTTAACCAAAATGAGACAACACTCAGTGTTTCAGTTCAATATCATGTTGTGGGTTTACACTCTATTGATGTATTATAGTAGGAAAAGTTCCACCAGTCAGTTTAAACACAAACTTTCAAGACCTTATTTCAAGGAACAGCAGTGTCACCTCCATCTTGAGAGTCTGCGTGGCTGAACGTAATACTAATGCTACGATAATGATAAAGCTGTCAACGTACTTAATTAAACACTACATCATAAAGACATATGGCAGAGCATAGGTTTCCTTAACTTGGCATGGGATGAATGTGAGGGGTCAGCTTCAAACCCTGCTTCCTTTACCACCAGAGGAACAGCCCCTAGTACCCACTGGATAGGAGGGTGTCTGAACACTATAAAGTAAAAGTAAAGCTATCCCTGTAACAGGCCATGAAGGCTCATAGGGTTGTGAGACGTTGAGGGTCCCACATTATCTAGACAATCGGCTCAAAGATGGCGGTAAGGTTGTCAGCCTTACGCGCCAGCCGCCCTTTACACCAAGAAATATTTCCTGTACTCATTTCTGTTAGAGGCCGAGTCGACCCCAGGGCCATAGTGCGGCTGGAAGAATTAGGTCAACTGAAAAAAATCCAATGACCTCATCAGTATTTGAACCCGCGACCTTAACCACTACGCTACCACGTGCCCCATGCTGAACACTATATAGAAGAAAGACATTTCTGGCCTCTGCCAAAAATCAGACTGCGATTCCCTGGTGATCTAATCTGTAGCTATGTTGACTGAGTTATCGTGGCCACTGAACTAATAGGAGGAAATTAAAAACAGAGACGTAGTCTCTAGTTGCTTGTACATTTATCATTCATACCAAGATTCATGGTAACTAATTCGGATGACTCTTTTTTTGTGTATTACTATCCTGATGATCACATCACCGTGATCAGCAAGACATAGTAAAAGAAGAGAACAAAAGAGGAACACAAACCAAAAGGAATTAATTTTTTTAAACACAGTCTCAATGCTAAGTATGCAGGCTATCTAGAATGTTTTAGGACATACCGAGACTTACATTACTTTATATTTTATGACAAATAAACTTATTTTATGATATTCATTTTAAGTTTCAAAATAAAGTTGTGTTGCAGAAAATGAGATGTGAAGTCCATTTTATAACTTCCCTGAACACCATTTTCAGTAGCATTCCTGTAATTCTGACTTCCATTAATGATGGCATGAGTTTGATCCTGATTAGTGAGGTTTCACTGCATATCATTCATCTGAAAGTTATTAGAGTGGAGAGACTACCTTACAAGACAAAAACCTCACTGACGAAACACACAAAATCAACCACACAATGCAGCCAATATGGTCCATTATAAAGACAAAGTTTAACAACATCTTTTCAAGACTGCAGCAGAAGGAGACTTGTTTCAATCTCTTGGGACTTTGCTTTCTTTGGGTACAGGTATTCTCTCCACACCAGAGGAAGTAGTTCCTTTGGTTGACTTCTTGGTGGTCTCAAGAGGTCTGGGGTGAACGGGATAACGTAGTGGTCTGTCTTTGGAGCTCTGTTATGTTGAAAGTAATACTGCAAGGAGAAAAGACATTGATATTGTGTTAGACGCTAATGCAACCAGATAAAATACAGTAAAACCCCTACTTAAGGTTCTTTTGAGAAGCACTGAATTTAAAATTAAATTGAGGAAAATCTTAAATTAATTATTTAATTTATAAGGGAACTCTTGAAGGTGCAACTTCTTATTGTGCTTGTAGACTGCAGACAAGAGGTTGCATATTCAAGACTTCCCCTGTAAATTGCATCGTTAACCTGTGCAACAGGATGCTGAATATTAAACGGAAGAAACTTTATGTCGAGATTACCGACAATCCTCATTTAACCTGAAAATTAAATGAGGAAAAACCTTTAAATCATGGATCATTAAATGTGAGCTCAACTGTATCACATTTGTATCTACAGGTAATAAATTCTTTTGTGTAAAAAACTCAGAATTTTATTGGCAACTGGATTTACTGGACTCTTATAACATACAACTGAAATTTATTATAGTGCTAATGCTGACCCACACTCTTTACAGTACACAACAGCCATCTAACAAGGGCTATTTTGCATGCCCTCATATCTCATGAACTGCACTCCCTGGTTGCTGACTCAGGACTCTACTGCTTTGGCTATGGCCTCAAAGTCAAAAGTCAGAGTTACTGTACGACTGGCAGTTTACCGCCAATCAGTTCATCTTGGCACCAAGCCCCTTGAGACTCACGACCAGTAATTTTCTTTTTACAACTCAACACTTGCGGTCATAGTCCTTATGTAACATCCTCTCTGACTAGAGGGCGGGTCTGTTTTTTAATATGGCTGCCACCTTTTACCAGCGCAGTCATTCTCAGGCTCCTGTCCCATGGGACTCATGATCACATTTTAATGTCCTAGATTTGAGATTCCCCCCAGCCTGGAGGGTGACTGTTGCCCAGCAATGGGTCTACATGCCAGAATAGAAACAAAGCTAAGTCTAACAGTGATCATGTTGACACCCACCTGTATAGGATTTGATTGGACCAGCCTTGACTTCTTCACATGGAAATATAGAAACCTGGGATCCTTGCATGGCATCATGAAGGTGGATATAAGGTTCATCACTTCTATAAGTAGCCCCCTCGTTTTACGTTTAGACATTGACAGTGACAATGATGATGACGATTTTGATTTTGATTTCTTGGATGCCAAGTATTGCTCAAACTGCTCTAGGCCTATCGCTATCAACCTGGAAAAGACATTAACACAAGACAATACAAATAAAAAATAATTACTGTCTTTCTGTGGGTTGCGAGGGTAGGTTAGTTGGTACAGTGATGGGATACAATCTTTATGGCCAGGGTTCCATTCCTGGCAAGAGATTTTTCTCCACTTCACAGTGACCAGACTGACTCTGGAACCCACCCAACCTCCTATCAAATGGGTACCGGGAGTTCTTTCCCCAGGAGTAAAGTGTCTGGGGCATCAAGCTAACCACTCACCTCTGCCCACAGCCAAGGTCAACAATGGTGGAGCTATACCTCCACTCCCCCATGACTTCATGATGTACCACTTCATTAAGCAAGCACAGTAACAACTTTACCTTAATCTTACCTTTACCTCACAACATGACACCATCACTGGCTAGACTATATAGCACGAAATGCTACAATGACACATGAGCTGGAAAACATTTCGCAGAAACCTGTCATGCCCTAACTGAGGTACTATCTCCACATTCGCTTGGATGGACCAAGTCAGAATAGCCTATGTCCCAGCTGAGATTCAAACACAGCACCTTCTGTTACTGNTGGAGACAGATTTGTATTGCAATACTGCAACCTAGACGGCAAGCTACGGAACTTCTTCAGAGACTTCTAATGTAAAAAAAAAATACCCCGGGAAGTTCAAAGTGGGATAACGAATGTACGAAATGATAGACAGAAATTTCCTCTTTCAATTTATAGCAAAAGTATTACTTTACATGAAAAGCAGCATAAGACGCATGACAGCGTCTCCCGGCAAGATGTGGCATTTAAATGCCGACGTGCTATGTACGTCGCCCGGCACTGGAAGGCTAATCAAACACTGTGTTATGAAGGTATATGGAGAAGTGGATATATGGTTCCACATTTTCTTGACCTCAGCACTAGCTGGAGATGAGTGGTCAGCTTTACCCCTCAGAGCAGGTCTGGATGACATGAAGAAAATTCTTGACCCTACTAGGACTTGAACTCCGACCCCTTGGTCATCCAGCCCGTAGCGAGTTGCTATACTGACAATGCTTTCCAACCTCCTAATTAAGGGGTTGAGCACAGAAAATGTCTACCAAGAACAAGGAGATTTATAAACTCGGCGCATTATTGTTACCCCATGCAAATTTAATTGTGAAGTAACTTACGAATCTTCAGATGGAAAGTAGAAAAGCTTCGAGAATCCATCACATCGAAACGGCTGAGCCGGTAAAAGCAATGGATATAAGAAAACCTCGCTTTGACTGACCAATTCCAGGAACTGCAGTGGAAACTGACAATTGTACACTCTTTTCTTTCTTCTGAGTGACATTCTGAAAAGAATCCAAGTGCAATCCATTTGGTTCCTTGTCCTAAGTATCGACAGGACAAGTTTTCAAGTAAAAGTTATCAACTCTATTTGTACATATATATTGTGAAATCCTATAGGCAGTGAATGTTTTCTGGTCCTAACTGAAGCCCAGTATAAACAAACTATTTTCCCAAATTTCACGAATTTAAAGGCATCAAACAACGCTGTTTGGTGCATGAAATGTTTTATGTTCCAGAACTCCTATCTTGGTTTACTGCAATGGTGGTAGAAAAGAAACAAATCTTTGGCAAGCAACGTCACATCGCCACAGCTGCTTGGATTCTGAGCTGTGATTCTTTCAGCACTTATTTACGAGTAGTATCTCATTATCTTAGAAAATCATTCAATATTATTGATTGTGAAACTGTATTTATCTGTGAAGAAATATTGTCTTCAATAAAGAAATTATTTTATTGTACAATAAGCCTCATAAGTATTTGAACAGTTTCTTGATGTAATTTCTGTACAAAGTCCATTCAACAAAAAAAATTTCTTTAGTCAATGAAAAACCATTTCTTCAGGAATTCATTAACAGAAATTCCACAGTATTTTTCTCCAACCTGCCTGTGGAGAGCGGTCAGGTGAATTTCTGCAGCCTTGATTAGTACTAGCAGGTGATAAAGGGTTCTGATGATGGTGTATAATACTCAGAATTACGGGGTTTTCAAACTCTGTACATCATCCGGTATTCTAGAAACAAGAAAATGCAACATTCCCGAAAGTGGATCTGTTTCCATCCTGAGGTGATGGGGGGGGGGATACCTACTCAGTTGGGTCTCACAGAAAGAGCTAACCTCAATCCAGTGATCTCTCACCTGAGGACAGAAACAGATCCAGTTTCCAAAATGTCATATTTTTTCTAGTTTCTAGAATACCGGACGATGGGTAAAGTCTAAAAACCCAGTAATTCTGAGTTTTGATTAGCACTGCCTTAATTTTATATAATCTCCCTGTTACAATTATCATACAATGCTTCAGGACTGTATTCAGACTCCTAACTTTTGAGCACTATCTCAGATTCCGCTACTTAAGCACAATATCATATTTTCAAAGAGAACAGTGCACCATACACACATGGTTTTAGCTCCATATCTGAACCAGAGCAGAAAAGTCTGTAGTGAAAGTCTACGCTGGATCAAAACTCCTATTGCTATTAACGTGTAACGTGGGGTCAGAGGTTGAGACTGCAAATTTAATACACTATGGATAAAGCCGCGGTGTTCATGAGTAAAAACCATCGAGCAGTCCGCAGATTTGACCTTCTTTCAGTCTATGTTCCTTATTCTGAAAAAATATGAGGCTTATGAGATCACATTGTAGTCTGTGTATCTCTCCACTACCGCTGCTTGGGAATGGATCAGTAAAAATGTACCTGCAGCAACGAATACATACACAACAAAAGAAGAATTGCTGGAAGCAGTGTTTTCTGTGAGGTCCATGTCATATCATATACTCAGTATGTAGCAAAAGGAAGGTGGGCAATTAGTTCTTCCAAGAACTTGTTTTTTCATTTATTTTACAATATTCAGAATCTGTAGTGTGAATTGGTGAATAAAAAACTTGAAAAGCTTTCAAAAGAAGCAGTCATTACCTAATCAAGGCACTATCCTGGGATTTGATTGGAGGGAGCGTGATAAACCATGAAAAATGTCAGTCAGGATAGTGGCTGTCCCGGACAAAGCATACAACTATATCAATCTGATTGGTTGACTTGATCTGGACTAAAGTCTTTCATCATGGCCAATAATTTGACTTCTCTTTTCTTTTTTTAATGAGGAGGTGATGTATTCACACAAGATATCTGTATCTAAACACTGTTCTTAGTAGGCCAAAATTTGGTGATGTGAAAAGGAGAAAATACGAAACTTTTAGATATGGAGCAAATAACCTCTCTGCTAAAAATTACTGCACTTCTAACCCAATGTAATTCTGTGTGTGTGTGTGTAAGTGAGTGAGAGAGAGAGTTAGAAACTGAGGTCAAAGTGTCTGGAACAAGTCTGATCAGATACACAGTGGCATGATGTCTGCATATACAAAGTCATCTGTACAGATCAGGACCATAAAGATATAAAACCATCAAAAAAAGTTTCATGTGTATGCCTGCCTAATAAATTTAAGTGTATATGAATCTTAATACGTAAACTTACGCCATATCTATTTCCTTCTGCACAAACCTGAAATAGAATAAAAAAATATATTAGTAAACATATCACTGATTCAAAGTATGTGGGGGGTGCTCTTTTAAATTTCTTCATTTGAGGCTCTTATCACTTATTTACAAAGTAAAGAAGGATGCTCTATGTGCCAAGTCATGTCTGTCCATCTGTCTGTGACCTAAAGCAGCTAAATCACTGAATGGTCTATTTTATTTTGTATGGGAAGACTTCCAGGAAAAATTGTCAGTCAGTAACGATTTTCAGCCATATTGCACCATAGTAAGTTTACTTTACTTAAGGTCATAACTGGATAAACACAAACCAGACATGCTTAGTAAATTGCAAAGATGGCCATCTGGACTTCTGTGTAGTATGTTATGGACTATTGTTTTGTTCCCCATTTGGTATTTCTTGTGAAATCAGCCAAATATCTCAGTGTTAAATTTAATTAATTCTGAAATTTTATTTAATTCAGTGTTAAAATCCATGTCAGAAAGGAGGTTTGTCTAGAAGAAAACTCAGAGAAAACTAAGCGTAGTAAACTCTAAATTATCTGCCACACATGGGGAATTGTGAGTGCGCTGGTTGCATATGAAAATTCTTAGAGAAGGTCAGAACAACACATTTAAGCTTTAGTTCTTATATTGAAATCTTAGGTGGTACAGCAGACTGATGGACGGAAGTACTGTGATATGCTGTGATGCTATCATAAATTCAACAACCTTCTTCTGTAATGGCACCTGCATGAAGGAGGATGATCAGCAGCGCTACTAATGGCAGCTGGGAGAACTATCATACTGCAGTTGAAGATATGTGCATTACAATTTAATTTCTGGAATAATTTTGTAAAAATGGGGGATTGTCTTTGACTTTTTTGCTGGCTGCATGAGAATTCCAGATGTGTAGATACCAGATAGTCAGGAATTTACTGTGCATGTTCATGTCTCATCACCAGCATGCAGGACAATTACTGTAGTATAAAAATCCCTTGAGACTGCAACCCATGCTTGAGAACAGCACTGACAAATAAATATTGCATTCATGAGGTAATTAAGATCAGAGTACATGTGGGGAATGTCTGATATCATTCAGTTCAGAATCATTTGTTTTCCAATCTGCTATCTAAATGTACAAAATTACAGTGTTACTTCTTGTTTCATATGGGTGTGAAACTTGGTCTCTCATGTTAATGGAAGAAAAAAGACTCAGTGAATGAGAACAGGGGTGCTGAGTGGAATATTCAGATCTAGGAAGGCGAAGTTTGTATATGAAGTTGATATAGTTATAATTTGACACTTATTAGAATTACAGAAACTTTGATTAGTATGAGAAAGCTGCTAAGGAAATGGGGGTAACAGCATACGAGAACAAAACTAAATTTACAGCACTAAATGATCCTGCCTATTCAAACTTGATGTATAATGTAAGTTTTGTTATCGATTCATATCATTTTGAAGTTGTGACAGAATTTATATATCTGAGGTCTCTAATAAAATAAAAAGCTGTCCCTGTGCTTAACTAATTAAGCACTAAACCATGAAGGCATATAGTGAAGCATATGTATTGATTCATAAAGGTCTCTAATAAATGGTAAAAATGATTTGGAAGAAGAAATTAAACACAGAATTATAATAGGAAGTAAATGTTATTATGGCATGACGAAACTGATGAAATCTCAATTATTAAGGAGGAAAACTAAATGTTGGCTGTACAAAACTATTATACTTCCAATAGTGCTCTATGAATCTGAAAGCTGGACACTGAGCAAGGCTCATGAGGTTTGGAGAGAAGGATTTTAAGGAGACTCTGCAGAGCAGTACAAATTGATGGGGTCTGGGGAAGACGTTGCAATCTGGAATTATATACTTTATTTTATGATGTTGATATAAATAAAAGAATTAAAATAAATAGACTGAGATGAGCAGGATATGTTATAAGGAGAAAAAATGAAGAAATTATAAAAAGAATAATGCTTGTAAATCTGGAAGTGAAAAAGAAGAAAGGTAGACCAAGAATGAGATGAATTGATGGTGTGGAGGATTTGAGGAACTTGGCTGTGGTTAACTGGAAAACAAAGGCATAAGAGAAGGATGACTGGAAAAAGATTTTAGAGCAGGCCAAGTCCCATAAAGGGCTGTAGTGCTGCTGCCACCGCCGCCGACAATAATGATGGTAAAGGTATCCCTGCAATAGGCCGTGAAGGCCCACAGGGTTGTGAGTTGTCGAGGCTCCAACATTTTCTCCAGACAATCGGCTCACAGATGGCGGTAAGTTTGTCAGCCTTAAGAGCAGGCTGCCCTTTACCTCCAAAGATTCATGGTATTCATTTCTGTTAGAGGCTGAATCGAACCTAGGGCCATAGTGCGGCTGGAAGGATTGGGTAAATTGAAAAAAATCCACCTCCTTGGGACTCAATCCCACAACCTTCTGGCTTGTAGCATAGTGCCTCAACCATGCTACCGCGTGCCCCAAATAATAATACTTACTTACTCATGGAGCTGAGCCCTTCTGGAGGAACCGCC